GTCGTGCTCATACTAACCAGTTTAGCATCTGATTGCATCTTTCTGTATTTGTTATAATCTCTCTTCAACTCTTCATACGCCATGAACTGCAGTGCACCATGGGAGGTTCCAAACAATCCCGGGACAAACCCCTAGGGATCATAACAGTTAACTCAGCTAGATGAAGCAAACAAACAAACCCCACAGCATGCAACTGACACACAATCACAAATATTTGCATGCACGCTCCTTATTTCCTTATACAAGTGCTCCTCCTAGTGGCACAATGTGGAATCTCATCGATTATTTCCTGTTGAAAGAAACAATCCACCCAAGGACTACCCTTCATTATTCTATACGTTGCCATAGAAACCCTTTTGTACCCGATAGAGTCCTGCGATCCCTTCATGGCGGAAGATTTTCACAAGAGCATCCATCATCCCCTTATACTGCTTCTTCGATGGATCGGCGCTGTACTGCAGAACCAGGCGAGTTTTGGTGACCCAGATCGGATTGGTCAGGCAAAGCGTCACCGCCCCTAAAAAACAGTGAAACCGAATATAAAGTAAATGAACAGCAGCTGATGTAAAACCAAGATCCACATGAAAAGAGTCATTACTGGTCCTTAATGGCTCACGTTGAGTCATTCCAATGAAGGATGCACCTCATTCAATTAGAGAAGCCCATGACACACTCTTCAACATGAGCTCTTTGCTGGAAGTTTAGATTATATACGTCCTTCGGATCAATTTACATGGCGTTTAATGTCACAAAAAGCTTTTTATGATATTAATGCACAAATCGTGACTTAGCCGGTGGTCATTTCATCTAAAATGTGACAAGGACTGCTGGTCTAGTGATAGATTGCTCTACTAATGGTTGTGCCTACTTGGCTATAAAAAAAATAAGGGTTCATTTAATTTTGGCAACTCTGTGTTCATCTAATTTGGTGTCATTAAACTGTTTTTGTATTGCTGTACTATACAGTGGTGTGAAAAAGTGTTGGCCCCCTTCCTGATTTC